TGCTCATAAATGCTAATGAATTTATAAACTAAAAATCAGCTGATAAACCAAAACAATCTGAAACAAACCAGTGTCACCGAGAATAGCTGCATGAGAATATATAAAGGATGAAAGAAATACACATTAAATAAAATGACTGACGACGTAAGTTAGAGAGAAAAAGAACAAAGTAGTCAAAAGTAGCAAATGGAAAAGCAAGTAGGCTAAGAGAAGGTAATATCATGAAGATACGTAGGACTAGACAGAGAAAACACAATGCAGCAAATAAAATCAGCTCAGGGAGTCGAGAGGCTTCATGGGAGAATAATTCAGCTTGCCACTGACGATGTAACTTTATAGGTCAAACACAACAGAGAAAAAAGGAAAAAAAAATTCAACCGAGAGAAACCCCTTTTGTCTTAATATATTTTTATTGATTTCAGAGACGAAGGGAGAGGGAGAGAGAGAGAGAGAAACATTAATGATGACAGAGAACCATTGATCGGCCGCCTCCTACACGGCCCCTGCTCGGGGATGGAGCCCACAACCCGGGCATGTGCCCTTGACCGGAATCCAACCTGGGAGCCTTCAGTCCGCAGGCCAATGCACTATCCACTGAGCCAAACCAGCTAAGGCTAGAGAAACCCATTTTAATCCTTTGAATGGAAACAACAAATAAGAAAAGTGATGAACATTTAGTCAACATTTCTTTATTCAAATGTTCCCTGGATACGTATCTGGCACTAGATATAATACAGTTGACCCTTGAACAATGCAGGGGGTTGGGATGCCGACCATCAAGCAGTTGAAAATTCAAGTATAACTTTTGACTTCCCAAAAACTTAGCTGTTCCTCAGTATTTGTGGGGGACTGATTCCAGGAACCCCCGCAAATACCAAAATCTAGGGATACGTAAGTCCCCTATATAGAGCATTGTAGATAAATACATACAGTGGCCCTCTACATCTGAAAAAGTACAGGCATTTATTGAAAAAACCCACATAAAAGTGTTCCAGTGCACTTCAAACTGTTATGTTCAAGGGTCAGCTGTATTAGCATTTGATTATACATAGTAAAAAGAACACACTCAAGCAGTAAATTTTATAACAGTGTACAAACTGAAAAATAGAAAACAAGACGAAGGCAGAAGAATACCAATACAGTGTTCAAGTCAATTCGTACAATTCTGAGGCTCTCATAGATAGCTATCATCTCTAGCCTACATTATTGTTTTATCTACAGCCTGTATAAGTCACACTTATATCAAGAATCAGAGCAAGACCAACAAGAATAGAATTATGGAATACAGCCAGATTATCACTGTGCTAAAGTGAATATTTTCACAACTCTCTGTGGGGCTGAATATGTTGGAGAATGGATAATAAGTAGCAGGATATACAAGAGCTGCTGAACAGCTCACTGAAGCAGAGCAATACCAAGCAGGACTCACAAAAGGAAATTGATTTTTTTAAGGATACTAACTAAGAAACTGCTATCTGGATATCATATAAAGAATGAAATGCACAAGGATGTAAAGTACAGCATAAGGGATGTAGTCAATAATATTGTAATAACTATGTATGGTAACAGGTGGGTCCCAGGATTATCAGAGATTATTTCATAAGTTATGTAAATATCTAACCATTATGTTGTATGCCTGAAACATTGTATGTCAACTGTAATTGACTTTTTTTAATCAAAGGAAAAAATGAAATTGCTCTTTTGTGACCAAAGGCATCAGGCCTGTGACAACTTGGAAGGCAATAACAAGGTGAGATAGATAGAGATAGAGATAGATATAGATGAGATAGAGATAGAGAGAGAGAGAGAGAGAGAGAGAGAGAGAGATTCTACATATGTTTACTGTGAACTACAGATTCCACAAGAGTCAGTCATCCAACTTCAATGAAGGGTGTCATTAAAAAAAAAAAAAAGGCAACCAGATGAGTTTGTGTATTATTTTTCAGATTTATATACTTCCCAAAACATCTTACAAACGAGCATATTTAAACATAACATAGTATTTAAACTTAATCCATCTAACATAAGTACTTGAAGAAATCAGAGATGAGTATATTACCAACTTCACTTACAAATGTGACAAGTCTTTTTGCTAAACTGAAGAGGACAATGCAGTTACATAGTTTCCATTTTCAAACAAACAGAAAGCATACTTAATTTTTTGCACAAACAATTTTCCTTGGAGATAAACTGAGCAGAAATTATGTCAACCTGGTGTGTAAAAGTCAATCTGTAACACATGGAACAGTATTATTAACTATATTTTCCAGGAGATATCAAGACAAATTCATAAATTTCCTAATTGAAAATTTGAAATTAAAAATTTCCTAATTATATAAAACAGAAGGTATAAAAATAAGCTACAATTTAAGTGCAACATTTCTGCAAAAGGCCAAGATAACATAATTCAAACATGGATATTTTGGTTAACCATAGGCTTAACAAAAGTAAAAACTTAATCTGGATAGCTACTTAACATAGGTATAAACCATGGTTGTCCACTGTCTTTGTATTAGAATCACCTGTGATTGTTAGCTTAGATTAAAAGCCTTCCAACAAGTGTCTGAAATGCAGCCGTTCTATATTGTTGATTAAAGAGTGCCCCCAATAGGTATGATTCATGAACTAAAAGATATAATTTAGTAAGGGTGAATTCTATACAGCGGATTCAATAAATGTTATCTTTCTACCTTCCAGAGGAGAGAAATGAAAGCTGGCATTATCATGTGGAAAGTAGAGAGTCATACTTATCTTTTTGTCCAGAAAGGATGAGGCTAACATGATAGTCAAAATTCTTTCAAGCAGTTCTTAATTTTTTGAAATTATTCAGTCAGTAATCATTTTTTATTAAGAAGTTAAAATAGATATATAAAGTCTAACTACAGTAGCTAGGCGTTCTCTTTAGGAAATAAATGTGCTTCAAAGTGGCACAATTAGGTACATTAATTTATAATAACAAACAGCATTTATTTAGTATAATTTCAGAAACCCATAACAAAGGTTATTTGTAAAGGGAATATTTGATAAGAATGCCCTCATCTTGATAACTGACAAGAATGTGTTCATAATTGACAAGAATGATAATTGATAAGAATGCATTTCTCTTGTATTATCAAAATAAAGAATGACAGAATTTTGAGTTCCAAAAGAACCTACAGATTTGCTAGATCAACCCCCTTATTTTAAAAGATGAGAAAACTGCAGACCCGAAAAGTTACATGATACAGCCCAAATCATTGCCTGAGACAAGACCTTGAGACCCTGGGCCTCCAGACTTGAGTACTTTTCCTTTTTCTAAGGGACTATGCTGCCTCCGGTGGTTCTAAATCCTCTGGCTTGGATGACATTACTGGTCTCCTCACTGGTTTTCTTTACCTTCTAAGCTGAACCACAGTTGTCATTTGTGACTTTCGCATAAAATGAATTTCCAATCTGTTCTCTTAATGGTTTTATACTGAGCATGTCAATCCTCAGCTTTCTAAATGTCAGACTAATAAACACAAACTGCTTGAAACAAATGCAGAATATACAATAATCACACCAAAGAAAAATTCTCTCCTGGATAATTTGATCTCCAAATTAAAAACAAAGAAATATTTAATGAGCAACTCTGCTATGCAAGGTCTCTGTTAATTGCAGGGACCTGGAGCTGAGTAAGCTATGGTCCTGGTGCCTAGTGAAGACAATTAACCCAACCATTACAGGCGCTTGTGAAGGACTCCAAACAAGGGATGGGCAGGTGCCTGGAGGAGGGAATCTAATTTAGAACGATGGGATCAGCGAATAACTTCCCAAAGAGGCCCTGAACAGCAACAGGAAAAAAATGCCAGCATCACCCATATTTATCCGGGTCCAACATGAATTAAAAGAGACACAGCAACTTCGATTTATTCAGGGATTTAAAAAAAAAAAAGAAAAGAAAGAAAGAAAACTGTGTGTGCACTATTTCCCAACGGAAAAGAACCAGCTTTCACCCTGGCCAGGTGGCTCAGTTGGTTGGAGCATCAAAAGGTTGCTGGCTCAATCCGCGGTTCCGGTTCGGGAGGCAACAGACCCGGGTGGAAGTTTCTCTCTCACATGGATGTTTTTCTCTCACATCGATGTCTCCCTCTCTCTCTCTAAAAATCAATTTAAAATATATCCTTGGGTGAAGATTTAAAAAAAAAGAAAAGAACCTGATTTCATTGTGGCTACATAACAAATACAGATCTCCAATTACTTAATGAAATGTTAAATCACTATTTTAAAACCAAAGGGAAAAAAAAAGCACCTAAAACCTGTCTGGTGAATACTCCTTCGCAAGCGCTCTCTCCAAAGCTGCCCCCTAAATTCTCAAGATGACGGGAGGGGAAGCCCCAGGGGGAGAAGGGAATAACCGGGGGGACCGAGCGCGACCGGGGAGGAAACTGCCCCCCTTCCCTCCGGGGCGAGGAGGCTCCGAGTCCCCGGCGGCGCCTTTCGGCGGGAAGACCGGCCAGACGAGCACTGCGGGCTTTTACATTTACATCTTTAAGCAAAAAAAAAAAAAACACACACACACACCGGGGGAGGGGGGTCCCGAGAGTAGGCAAAATCGTGGGAAAGATGAGGAAGTGAAGGGACGGAAAAGAGAGGAAAGGGGTGGACCTGAACCCAGAACCCAAAGGCAAACGGGCGGATGGAAGAGAGACCGGAGGGGAGTTGGGGAAAGAGAAGTGGAGTTGGGGAAAGAGAAGCGGAGACAGGGAGGCAGGAGGGAGGGAAGGGGGAGGGGAGGGCTGTCTAAGAAAATGATGTGAGAGGAAATGCGGGAGCGGAGCGAGCAGGGGGGGGACACCGGGGCGGCGGGGCGCCCCCTCTTTACCAGCCTCCGAGCCCCAGAGAGGGAGGAAGTGGCTCCGAGTCCTGGGGACGGCAGTCGGCGCCGCCGGGGGAACGAGCCCGCGAGCGGACACGGTACAGCGGCCGGGCCTCGCCTCCCCCGGGCGCTGGGCGGGGCGGGGCGGGCGGCGGCCGGTTACCTGGACAGGGAGCCCGCGCTGGGCGACCGCGCCGCCGCGGGCGGGGAGTCCAGGCTCTCCCACCTGCAAGGTCCTCTCCATGGCGCGGCGGCCGGCAGGCGGAGCGGCCGGAGGG